GTTGTGTGGTGCTCTCTCATCTTTTTAAGTGGGAGAACTTGCACAATTGGTGGCTGACTAAATACTTTTTTGCCCCACTGTAGCATGGGGGCGAAACAGAGCCCTTCAGTACCTCTACTCACCCGCCTCAAATAATCTCAGATACTGAAATGGCAAAAAAGTTTTTTTAATGTGCAGTAGGACTTTCCAATGTACCTTCCAATGCTTCTTTTATCTCTCAAAAGAGCTATTCCTGGAGATTGGAATAAACTTTATAATGTATAGAATTTTCTGCAGGGAATGGTGAAGTGTATTACTGGAAAAGAAATTTTTCAGAAATTGGATGGAAGGCTTTACATACAAAACATATAATTCACTAATTCAAGGGGTTCTTGGTGTTTCCCTTTATGTGTATCAGATAGGTCTATATTTGTTTCCCAAGGAAGCTACAATTATATAATTCTTACCAACTTGCAAAAGGGCTTTTGAATACTTCCTATCTAGCAAACACTATTAGGGGAAAGAATACACCTCAGTTATGCAACTGAGACAAGTACAGAACTTAATCTCTGAATAGCACATAGGGAGCCAAACTCCAACACTAATAGGGGAAAGGGACAGCCATTACATCTGACTTGGTTTTATTTTATATGTACACTTAATTAATATTAAATATAATTAATATAACTAGTTTTCAATCATGCATTTAATTACTTTCTCCTTCTGTTATGTTAAAATTTACAATTTAGTAGCAACTTAGGTAGGTCTTTGAGAGTTTTCTTCGCACACCATTTCTGCACCTCTGGTTCATGTGAACAAATGTATCAGGTGATAATTCTGCCAGGAAAGATTGAAGATTAGACAAACCAAGTTCTTATTAAGACTTCTGTATGGAGACTGTGTTTCATACATTACATGGTTTAAGAGGGTGGGAGAAATAGCAACTAAATACTGTAAGTATGAACCTGAGTTCTCTCCTTCCTTTATGCAGGCAGGTCACCAATGCCAGGTCACCAGTGCCATGATGTTGCTATTAGAAGCATAATGAAGCACTGAGAATGCTGTGACCAGTTTCAGTGAAACTTTAAAAATTGATCCACAACATTAAGCATCATTTAATGAATGTGGATTGTACTATATGCATTGATACATATTCCAAGCTTAACTCTGAAAAAATAACACCCTAATATTTCTATGCTGCCCAGAGTCATTGAGAGTCAGGCAGCATACAAGTTTAATAAATTATTATTCTATTGAGAATGAGAAATCCATAAAACATGCTAAAAAGATACAGGAAACGTGTTAAAATCCTAGTATAATCTTAGCTTAGATCAGTGTAGTGGGCTAAGTCACATTTATAAAATAGTAGAATGATTTGATCTTGATTAATTCAAGTGTTATTGTTTTCAGGGGAATCACAATCATAACTAACTACAGAGAATATAAAATATGGGTTAGATCCGCTATTAAGGCCTACCTAGTGGCAGTAAGGGTGGCAAAGCGTCAATATTTCTCCACTCTTATTGCATCCTCAGAGTGTCGTCCGGCAGCCCTGTTCAGGATCACTCGGTTCTTCCTGGGTAGAGAGGGCTCGGAGGACTATCTACAGGGCTCTGCAGAGGAATTTGCTGAACACCTTACGGATAAAATAGCTCAGATCCATTCTCAGTTGGAGGCCAAGTGTGACGCGGGTCCAGTGGAGATGCCCAGGGAGCACTCTTACCCAGTTCTCTGGGAACGGTTTGATCCTGTTGGCCCTGAGGAACTGGACAGGGTCCTCGGGGCTGTTAGTTCGGCTATCTGTATTTTGGATCCTCGTCCCTCCTGGTTGGTTAAAGCCACCAAGGAGGTGACTTTAGGGTGGGTTCTGGCAGTGGTCAATTCATCCTTGCAGGAGGGAGTGTTCCCAAAGCCTTTCAAGGAGGCTTTGGTCTAGAAACCATCGCTG